AAAGTGACAGCCTTTTATTCACACTGATGAACAGGCTGTTCATTGCAGTTTTCTATTTCTGACAGGAGGAAAGTTAGAATTTATCTCCTTTGAAAAGCTAACTTTTCATATTCAGGAAATCCTTCCAGTGGAAATATGTTTACTGCTGCAGCTTGACGCTTAATCCTTTCTGATACTTCAGTAACACAGAAGCATCAAGCTGAGCTCACAGATGCATATATGAGTTCATAACGATAACGCGACCTTTACGCACTGCTATTATGAAGATGTCGTTACCATACCGAACATTTGTTGTGATGTGACGCTGCGTTACGTTGATGACGCCATGGATCTGTTTGGTATAATAACAAGGATACTGGATGGCCAGTCCTTGGAAATTTCTCCAAATAGATGACATTTATTGTGTACTCCTCCTGTTTTTCGTAAAACGAGGCCAAATGATCTAGCAATATGAAAATAAAACAGGAGGATTACAATTTGGAGGAGCGTAATTGAGGATTGAATAGTTATATGCAAAACAGGCACGTGGGGACGTAAGATTAAGTTTCCTAATTCTAGATGATAAAAAAAACTTGGGAATTGTAATGTGAAGACCGTGGGAATTTAGTACCGCAGTAGAACCAACTTACTTTGATTTCAAGCAGTAGGTTGGTGTTTTCAAGTCCCATCTACAAGAAAAAAACAAACAAGTTAGATTTCAAGATAACACTTAAAAAACTTTAATCCCATTACAAAGAACTTCTTCTCAGAAAAAGAGTTGATGGTACCTCTTGTCGCTAGGGTCTATGCCGCAGTAAAGAATAGACTTCATGTGGAAATGCTAGCCATATAGTTATTATGACACAAAGCGTGTTATGCTGTGCAGTTTGAGGAGGCGGTATTATGAGGAACCAAACACATGTACAGTTAATACTATGGTATGTAGTCAATAAAATAGGTATTTCATGGAACAAAACAAATCTAACACTGGTATAAAGTTTGAGGAGATGATACTGTGAGGAAAGTGGTAGCCAATCTTACTTTCGTTCATTGTCCGTCACTGTCATTCCCTTAGGTGTAACCTTAAAGCTTACAGTGGTGAATTTCTTAGCAGCGTCCTCTGTTGACAAGCGTTCAATGGTACGTTGTATAGTGCTTGCTCTTGTCAGCATCTCAACATCACACTGCCCCAGATACATCAGCGAACCAACTGTAAGTCGAAAAAAAAAACAAACAAACAAATCAAAGCAAATCACTGCAGGCAAATTTTTGATTAAGAGTGCAGTCCTGGACATAAGTGAGGTAATTGGCAGAAACCTCAGCGGGGATGGATTGGTGCAATACATTAGCGAGCCAGCAATACGTAGGATATATCAGTGATCAGAGACTGATACAGAGTCAGAGATGTCGTTAAAGTGAAAATGTTTCACACCACAACGCGGCAGATACCTACACCCTTTGGCCACGACTGATCGTCCTGTGTGTCAGCAGACTGGGTTTTATCTTCTCCTGAGAGATCTGGAAATAAAAAGATATATACACAAAATCAAAACATGTAAACACACTAACAAGTGGACAGCAGAGAGAAAATATGGGATGACCAAAGGAGCGTTTGCAGTGCTCTCCTCGTCACCCAGAAGCCGGCTGATTTATACTTTACGATCTGTTAGCGCGATCTGTTGGTACCGGCCCAATAGCCTCAAGAAATGGTCACTTTACAGTAACACGCTACATACCCTGGCACCAGAGGGGCTTTCTCGAAATACCTAATAAGGGTGAAATAACCCGTGCGGAAGCCCCAATATCCAAATACAAATTCTCCAGACTGATCTACATACATTTCCTTAAAGAATTACTTAAGAGAATTTGTTTGTAGATCAAAGCTTTTCACATCAGCTGATCATTTTGTTAATTCTCACCAAATTTTCTCTAAACTATGTACTGATAATGTTAGGAGAAAGCTGACTTTAGTCAGTCACTCTTGGGACTTAAAGGGTTAAACTACCGAGACAAGAGACGAACTATCAGGAATTAGGCACCCACGGTACACGCTACAAACTGATTGCGCCAAAAATATTACATTGTTTTCTTGTATGCTCGCAACGTTTTCTTTATAAATCATTCTAAACTCGGCCGACGAATCGCAGCTAGCAAAATGGCCTACACATCCTCCTAGTTACTGTTAGCTTACCAGATCGATTTAGGTTTCTGGGAAACTGCCCACCTACCCCCCCCCCCCTCCCCCTAAGCTAACATAAACATTTACAACTGACCACTACAGAAAATGCCATAACATACCATAATGCTCTTAGTTGGTCACTCCAAAATTTTGCATGAGCATTGATTTCAGTTTCTCTTGGGGCCATTTTAACTCCCCAGAGAAATTGAAAACAATGCTTATGCACAATTTTGGAGTGACCAACAAAGAGTATTATGGCATGTTATGGCATTTTCTGTTCTGGTCAATTACTCACTATTGGGACTATGGGTTCAACTCCTGGCTGGAACTCCCAACTTTTAGTGAGTTCTTCTCTCCACACATATCATTCTATTTCAGTATTATTTGATGCTACATAAGCTAGGATAAACTGGATACCTCATATCAGCTATTTCCATTAGAATATCCTGAATAGCTTCCACATCCGCCAATGAATCCTTAGCTACTATCTTCTCACCACTCTCCCCTATTCTGACAGTATCCACTGGGCTTCTACTCACTAGGGTGGTCTGCATCTCATTTCTTGTACAACTTGCAGGGCTAAGAATGTAAACACCACATATGGTTAGTACCAACCCAGTCAATTTGGATATTTGCGTTTCACTACTCAAATATCTAGTGAAATGTTTTCACGAGATCGCCAAGGAATAATCCATGATACTGATTAAGATTTTTATACGACCGTCAGACTCTTTGAGGTTACTTAATGTTACTCAGCTATATTTCAGCTCTTTTCAATAACAGACAGCGTGTTGTACGGTATTTAATTTAAAATTTGTCGTACAACGCTTAGCAGCAGGGTGGTGTGGGTGACTATTTACCTGCTTTATGTGCTGGCCTGACCAGACTGCCCAGAGAAAATGTCCTCTAGCCTCATATCCCAAAGGAGTTCAAAAAAAAGTTAAAGTTAACATTTCTCTTTAATAGCCTCTAAAATCACAAGGATCACTCGACTAGTTTTGTCAGCCATCCAACCTGCAAGTAGACATGCCACAACAACCATCTACAAACACGAAACGATAGAAAAAATGAACAAGGACTTGTTAAGCATTAGGAATTGGTGCTTTGATAATCAGCTTTTACTCAACCCAGATAAAACAAAACTAGTGATATTCGGCAGCCGGCAAATGACTGCTAAGGTTAGCGACTTTAGGCTATTTCTATTGGGGAAGGAACTCGAGCCCGTTAAGGCTGCAAGAGACCTTGGTGTTACACTGGACTCTAACTTAACATATAATGAGCATATTGTTTCTACTGTATCCTCATGCATGTCACGTTTGGGCCAAATTAACCGCGTTAAGCATATTTTTAATAAACACGCGCTAATTATTATTATAAATGCCTTAGTATTTAGTAAATTATTCTATTGCTCTTCTGTTTGGAGCAATACTACTCAAACTAATCTGGACAGGCTCCAAGCAGTACAGAATTTCGCTTGTCGTATTTTGAGCGGCGCTAAAAAATTCGATCACATAACTCCTTTGCTAAAAGACTTGCGCTGGCTACCAATCAGGCAACAACTTTATTTTCGTTTTGCTGTTCTGGTTTTTAAGTGCATGACGAGTTGTGCTCCGGGTATTTGACATCAAAGCTCGTTGGAAGATCCGCCGTCTCGACAAGGAATACGAGAAATTCTCAACTTTTGAACATACCACTCTTCCGCACTGCCAGCGGCCAAAGGACCTTTCAATATAGAGCAACCTCTCTCTGGAATGAGTTGCAGCCTGCGCTCAAACTTAGCCCATCCGTGACGGAATTCAAGTGTTTACTCAGGCAAAAGCTTCTTAATGACTGCTTTATTTAATTAATTTAATTAATTTTATTGACCTTTGTCTTCTTTTGTCATTGTTATATTCTTCTTATTGTCATGTACTTGGTTTATAATTTTGTAATGTAAAATTGACTCTGAAAAGCCCCGTGGGGACGAGCCAATAAAGTATGTATGTATGTATGTATGTATCCTAGCCATAAAATACCGCCAACAAACCTACCATTCCAAATGTACCTTCTTCCTCAAGTCAACTCATCGATGCAATTAAGGCCACTAACTTCACCACTAACCCGGAAGGGGGGTACTTTAGGAATTTCTGGGTGGGGATGTTCTGCTGGGACCCTGGAACCCTTAACCTATACCAGAGCTAGTTCAGCTGAATTTTGCTACCCTATACTAGAGTAAACTCCCCTAATACCCCCTATTCTAGAGTAGCTGTTTTCCAGAAACTACTGAAGTCACTAGCACAGTCTAGCCAAAACAAAACCTTATACCACAATCCCTAGTCTAGATAAAATCTTCAACCAACTGATCAGTTTCCTGAAAAATAATATCCTATTCTAGACCCAAACGCTCTGATTTATATACCCTATCCTAGAGTAAATTGTTTGAAAACCATACCCTTCACAGTGGCACGACCTATATAGCCCATATATGGCAGTGCCCCCCCGGCCACTAACTAAACAAGATCAACTCTGCACACAAACTCTTCCCCTACCTTTTCAGCAAAAGAGTCACCTTTTCTCAGTTTTTCAATTAAACATCGCACATATTATCAGGAACACAATCTGAAATCCCTTAATCATGTTAATTAATCAAATCAGAAAAAAATCAAACTATCTTCATCAAACAAAATCCACAACTGCACTACAAAATCACTACCACCTGATACCATCTCTCTACTTAACAAAGGAACTAACTTCATCCCCACCACCGCCACTACTCGCATCTCTTCTCCCCAAGAAACTGTCACTTCCGAAGTCAACACATGCCTTTGTTCACTCATCCACAAGAAGAACTACACCACCAGAGTCAAAGCATCAAACACCACAAAGTCATTTCGCCGTTTCCATCCTTACAACAAACAGCTTCATCCACTTCCTTTACTACATCAAGAACAATCGAGACCTTACTTCAACCTTCACCTCATTGACTATGTTGATAACACTGTTTCATTCACTAAAGAATTTTTACAACCTGCTAAATACCGTTCTATTATTTATCCTATTTTATCTTCCATCTACCCACCCACCACATCTGACATTCCAGACATACAGAACGACAATGACATTATAAACTTACAGTGACTGACAAAACGTGGGCTGGGCCCTAGTGCCCACCTCATGGTTTTCCACCGAATACAAATGACATTTCTCTGACCTTTCAACGTACAGGCGTACTGATAACTTTAACTGTAAACAACCATCACAGATTCCCACACACTACTTGGCCAACTCAAAAAATGGTTTTTAACTGTTATCACAAATTGTGATGACTTACAACTGCTGGACCCTACCCCACAAGACAAACTACAACTGCCTTACATGAAACTACTACTCAAAGTACATAAGCTTGGCAAACCCACCTCACATAACAACCTGACCAAACTAACTGGAAGACCAATTATCACTGCCCACAGTTGGATCACATCAAACCCTTCATGTCTAGATCTACTGGGAATTGAACTGGACAGAATTATTTTGCAATTGAAAAACCTCTTTAAAGAATGAAACATACCATACCTTTTAATTTACAACTCATATGACTTACTGCTTTTGTTAGACAAACTACATATTACCAACAATTGTACGACTTGTGTCTCACAACGTTTGACTTCACATCCCTTTACACCAACATATCATACCATGACACTACTCGAACCATCATCATGAGCTGAAAACTGCTTAATTTGCCAAACTTTTATAGGGACTATTTACTTAACCTCAATAAAAACGAAACTCTTTTATTGCTCGTGATACCTCCTATAAGCTATCAGGGGGTTGCTCTGGATATAGTTACCACAGCCGACAAATTGTGGGACTTGTGCTCTCACTAAGCGAATTTTCTCTTTTTAACAATACTAACTGCCCTACTAAATAGCATTTTTAACTTGGAAAAACATTGGTGAAGCCGGTTTTGCTGAGTTATGTTTATGTACAAGGGAAGAAACTTCTCCAGGGGGAAGATTTAAAGGAAGTTTGGTTGGGGCTGAAACTCTTTGATTCTGACCCTGTTTAAGGCAAAATGCATTAAAATATTATTGTAACCCTGTTTAAGACACTAAATAGTGAAATTGAATAATTCTTTTAAGATTGAAGGTCCCATAAACCTATACCATACAGAGCGGCACATACTGAGTGAGCCAAACATGGAGATTTCCTCCCTTGAGCATGTGTGACCATCTGTGAACTCCCAAGGAAACCATTTTCCATATATGGAGGCAAAGAAACAATGCATTTGTTAATGACATATTGTCAAGACATCATGACTAATTTCAGTTGCACGCGTATTGGATCTGCTGTCACGTATTTACCCATTTTTCAGGGCAGTTTTCCAAAATATACTAAAGTGTAATATTTTTTCCCTCAATGCAAGGCCTGTAACTTTCCTACTGAAACTACAAATCATAAGTTTTATGAGTGTCCTGCCGTGAAAAGTTTTTGGAATGATGCCTTTACCTGGTGGAACCTCAAACGTTCTGAAAATATAGCACCCAGTGCTACGGAAATTCTTTACAAAAGAAAGTAGTGTCTGATAGCCCGGGGCTTAGTGGATTTTGCTATTGGGCTAGTGAATTCTGTTCTTAACTTGCCTGACGGGCAAAGTGAAGTATTTTGAGGAATTCAACTTACAGAAGAACTGTGAAATCAATTCTGCTCATCAAAAAATTTTGGTGCGCTAGTTTATGTTGAAATGACGTTTGGGCTAGTAAATGCTAGCTTCTGCTAGTCTGAATGGCAAGCTGTAAAAATGACTTTCTTTGCACCCTGTAACAGTTACAAACCCAAATCAACACGTTTTCATCAGGGTTCTCAATAAGACCAGCGGCCGGCAAAATTTGCCGGATATTTCACGTGAACTCGCCGCCTTCTTTTCTTTGGAAATAACTCCCAAAAGAGCCAAAATTTGATATGCTATCTGTGTTCTGTTCAAACACTCTAATTTTTGCTCCAGAATGCTGGAAATGCACTCTAAGATGCCCAGATTTCAAAATTTTCCCAGGGGGCATGCCTCCAGACTTCCCTAGTAACTTGCGCTTTCAGCACTTGCAAGTCACGCCATGAGTTCTTTCCGGTACCATTCTTTCTTTCCTTTACCGCCAACTCCAAAGCTTTTGCCACCTACTTAAAACCTTGTTGAAAACCCTGTTTGATACCTTCAATCATTATCTTCTAATTGCATGATACTATATCCACCTTGCTAGAAACAAGTCTGAGACCCCGAGACTCAATGTTTTCATTACATTCTTCTGGAAACTAAAATTCAGTGTGAAAGAGAAATTGCTAATAAAACCGGAAACCAAGTGAAATACAGAAATAAGTGGACCTCCTTGTGCATTTCTGATACAGGTATTTTGAGAAAGGTTGTCGGAAAAAGTGCACGCGACAACCCCGAAAGGTATTGTGGGTAGTTTTGAGTGCCCTGTTCTTCAAAGAAATTTGAAAGAATTGCACGGGAGGCCACGGACATATGTTTGCGAGTGCCAAAGGAAAGTAAAAAAATTAGTTTCGACAGCTACAGTCGTTAGGAACAGTGTATTGATCATATCCCATATTACCCTTCGGGATTGTCGCGTGCACATTTTTTCCGACAACCTTTCTCGAAATAGCTGTATGCATTGTGACTTTTCGGGTTAATGACTTCAAATACATGTGCTTTTTTTTGGGTTTTGTTTTGTTCTTCTGCTTCGTTTGTATATATATTGTATGTGCCTTGTATTAATCATACGGTTTCATTAGCGTTTTTTTTTTTCCTTATTTCTCGAGTTATATGGCTAACTTGTTCTACTACATTATGTACCTTGTCAACCAACATTTTCATGCTAAAGAGGGATTTTACTACAGTATTGTTCAAGTTATTAAAGTAATACTAAATTTTCAGTGATTCTGATATAAATCACATGTATGTATTCGATTCATAAATGTTGATTTTATGCAAATTAATAGTTTCACCGTCCATTCATCAAGATTTACATGCTTCATCCTCTAAGTAGCTCTAGTTACAAATTCGGTCCATAGATCAATTTCACAATTATATCGTTCAAAAACAATACTAAATTCTCAGTAATAATTTCTATAATGGTGCCTAATTAAACATTCTTTTTGTACATAACATACAACTATAAAATAATGTATTCTGAGTATTTTTTTTTGGTCTTTTTATTCCATGGGGCGGGTGGGCATGATCTGTAACATGTAAAATATGAAAAGTGATCTATGATGTCACAAAACCATTTCATAGAAAACAACAGGACAGCTAGAGTCATGACCTCAAAAATCCTGTGAATTATCAGGAATTACAGGAAAATGAGTAGACTTTTCAAAAATAAAATTATTTTGTCAAAGGGATAACACAGATGTAAGCAGAAAAAAACTGGCAAAGAAAAAATTTGAAAAGTATGTCTTAATGAGCTTTAAATTCTAATTATATCTTAATATAGATTTTATTAATGTCTCTGTTCCTTCGCGATGCATGTTAAACGCATAACTTAATTATAAAAACAAATAATGACAAGTTGGCGTTAATGGGGGAGCACTGCCTTGCGCTAGGTTAGCCTAATGCGACTTCCGGCGATGGCGTGACCAAAGAACCTCACTTATCTCCCCAGCACTACGAGCTGAATGCAATACAGCACGCGCTGGATCGGACAAGAGTATCGGTTTGCACGTGATATTAAACGGCAACGTGGCCAAAAAGCTTGGGGGAGTCGCTGCGCAGACTTAACCGCACGGCGTAGGAGTGTCCCTAGTTTATTTGACCACATAGCACAAAACAAAGCCCAAACCTCGTCTCCAAAGGGAGGGAGGGAGGGAAAAATTTTACAAGAATCGTATACTGAGCGCTAACCTTGCTGAATAACAGAAGCCAAGTGAACTCTGCACACTTGTTCTAGGCTTTTATAGCTAGACAAACGTCTGCTGGCATAGCCAGTAGAAAAGGCTGTACTACAAGACAGCTCAGCGTTGCACGTGCGAACTCTTAGCCATGAATAGTGCATTGAAAAAGTCGGCCAATGCTGTGGATCGTACTAGCATGCTAAAGACAACAAGACCGTAAAGTTCTACGCTAGAATACAATGTATCTTAGAGCTTGCTGACCTTGGCAGCTTGACTACACAACTGCTTTATTGAAAAGGAACCGCCATGAAAGGGTTACTGATAACTGGCGTCACGTTCCATTAACTACATTTTACTTGCGTGACAGTAAAATTGCTTTTAATGTCTCTGTTCCTTCGCGATGCATGTTAAACGCATAACTTAATTATAAAAACAAATAATGACAAGTTGGCGTTAATGGGGGAGCACTGCCTTGCGCTAGGTTAGCCTAATGCGACTTCCGGCGATGGCGTGACCAAAGAACCTCACTTATCTCCCCAGCACTACGAGCTGAATGCAATACAGCACGTGCTGGATCGGACAAGAGTATCGGTTTGCAGGTGATATTAAACGGCAACGCGGCCAACAAGCTTGGGGGAAGTCGCTGCGCAGACTTAACCGCCACTGATGCATGCGAGGCAATGCATCCCCCCAAGCCCAACGAGAAAACGAATCAACAAGTAGAAAGAAAAAAGGAGGCTATATTGGCTGGAAGCGTCCAGGAACAATAGCCATCCTGGGAGCCACAGACTCTAATGTAGATTGAGGAGTTCTGATATACAGCTGGTAACAGTCCGAGGACCAGCGACCAAGGACTTTTACAAGCCAATCTGGCAAGCCGGCGGCGGCTGCAACGGAGGCCGCACCGATGCGAAAGCTATGCCCTTTTAGGCTTTGATAAGGGAGGCCAGCCACCCTAGCACTATCCCTAAGGAGGTCAGATACGATGCCCCGAGTGAGGTAACGACCTGATGCGAAGTAAAACAAAGGTCCATGCCGAGGCCTAACTAAGAGAAAATACGCTTGCATAGCTGCAACGGCGCAAAGGAGCGTCGAGGTGCGAGCTATAGTGAGTGACTGACCTTCCCTAGCAATGTCTGTCTTAGACGATTTGAGATATACTGTTATGCGCTGCGGGCACGCCAGGCTGGGGTGAAACGTTATGCAATCGGTAGAAAGATCGAATTGTTGGCGAAATTTGCGAACCCCGCAGTAGGTAAATTCGCTACAGCGCAGGAAAGCGAAAAAGGCTAAGTTGAACGCGGCCCAGATCATAGAAAAATCCCCGGGACTAAGCC